ATATATAAATAATTTGATACTTTGTTTCAGCTTATTATTTAAGGGCAGTGTGCCATTTTCTTTCCTGCTTCTAAAAAAGATGACTCCAGATGTCCCTAACTCTACGCTGTTCTCATTACCGCCAGCAAGGTGTTCCAAAATTGAGGATGATAACGTTTATGGTAAAAGACATTAAATAAAATACCTAGATCCCATTTGCCATGGATGGCTTTCTGTTATTGCTTCATTTCAGACCTCCGAACCTGGAAATTAAATGTGTTCTGCAGGATGTTTAGAGGAAAATATACTTTGGCTTGATGAGACTGTTATTTGAGGTTCCTGTAATAGCTTTATTGAATTATGTATTGTAAATAAATGTGTGTATTTCATAACCAGAGCATGTCATGAGATGACAGTGATGTTGTCAGTTGTAATCAGAACGTCCTCTTTTGGCTTCTTATGTATGTTTCGTTTTATAAAGTGATGGTGAAAATATTCCAGAGTTCATGAAAGGTTAATAACCTCATATGTTAATAATTTCATTCCTCTGAAATAGAAAAGCAGCACATGTTTTCATACAATTTTGCTGGATTAAATTACCACAAAATAACCACATTATTTAGTCTTCTATGATTTCTCTCAAGGGGAAATTTGATTGGCTTATTATAGCTGAATGAATGCAAAAATGTTGGAGTCAGTAAAATATTTAATTGTATTGTTATTTAGGTTTGTTTAATATTAACATTGTGCTTGATGATCTCTTGATAAGCATTCCCTCATGCACACATATAAATACAGTCATGCAAGTGAACACAGATGCACACTGAAAAGTATTAATATCATCACAGCAGGAAGTCTAAAAGAGTGGGCAATAAATAGCTCTAAGTGTCCTCTCAAGCACCATAGACATAACTACATGTATATCCTACAAACCAAAGCAGCCTGTTGATCTCCCTTTTAGATTTTCCGCTCTTATTTTCCTCTTCACGGGATGGAAAAACTCTCTGAAGTTTACCAAAAGACCCTTATGGGATAAACATAGCTTTGCTGTGTACCTGGGGCAAGAACAAGCAGAAAAAGAGAGAGAGAACCTGCAAGAATCTCTCTATTTCTATGACAACGGAGGGTACTGAGTGGTCAGAGGAAGAGATAAGCTCAAGATGGCTGCTTTGATCTGATCTGCAGTAATTCTCCTTCTCTCTGTGGTTTGTGGAATGAACACGGCTATTTGTTGAAGCTAATATAATTTTGTTTCGCTCGCTTTCTGTGAACATCTCCCAGTATGCTATGGGTTAGTGTGAATTTGCTACGTCATGCATGGATATGCAGAGATAAACATCTTGTGAACAAGGCCTGGAAGTTTTTCTTGGATTGGTGTGGGATCAGAAAGAGTTTGATTTGTTTTGCTAGATTGCAAATGCTCATTTAAGGGTTGATGACGTGTTATCAAGGTCATGATGATTTAGATTAGCAATAAATTGAACTGTAATCACAAAAAACACCATTATTTTTTAATGGAAAAAAAATACTCATTGTTAAGTGTTTTTAATAAAAGGTTCTGTCGATTTCTAAAAGGTCATAAATGATAACTAGAATCCAGCGAAAGCTTTTTCATCTTCAATAATGTCAATGACAGTTCAGTGTTTTCTTCCCTCGGCAGAGTTTATATTAATTTTGACCCGTTGGACAATCAAATCAATCCTCAGCCTTCCTCTGCCTGTTGCTATTTAATCATATGCCTTCTTCACAATTGAATTGGACAAGTTGACCTTTAGTTGCTCGTGCAGATGTGAGCTGTCAAAAAGTCCTTCATATCACAACTGCTTCTCTCTCCCAATGAGTTTGTTTTACTTTGAAGAATAGCTGTGATTGCCATGATGTTGTGATTTCAACATGACATGAACATGAAGAATTTTTGCCAAGGAATCACTTTCTAACTAACATAATCATGATTTTTATGCTGAAACAATTTTACATATAAATTCCAAATACAATTTATGTGTGTCTGTGTGTTTGTTTTTTTCTCCACCTGACTAGATAATCTTCTGATAGACTACCAGTTTACCTTTAGTCTGCTTCAGGAGGATGATCAGCATTACACAACCATTAACTTCATGGCGACTCCGGAAGAGGTCAGTGAATTTGCATCGTGTTCACAAATGAAATGGGCATGAGCAATTTGTATCTGATTTTGTGTATTCTAGGGATGCACTATATTGGATTTTTGCCGATATCTGCTTTACCGATATTATTCAGCTCATTTTGACCGATACCGATATATTTCCTTTTGTTTGGAAATAACACCAAGTCTCTCCTGTGCAGAAATTATAAGCAAAATATTTTAAATTTTGGTTAGTTTTTAACAAGAACTTATTTGTTAGAATTAAATAAACAACAATTAAGGTTTTTTTTGACAGTACATTGAAGCTTTAACTAGGGGTGCACCAATCCATGTTCACATTTACTGCAAAAAATGCGCTGTTACTTTAATTCAGCGCTTGCAGCGCAGCAAAAATAGACTCGGTGCAGAAACGATCTGCACTGCTGCAGGCGCACCGCTACTGGAACGCACTGCTGGACAGCAACCGTGTGCAGTGTGAACGCTTTATTAATCCGTTAACATGAGCGCAATGCAGCACAATCTAATCATCATTCAGACAAAAATTTGCTTCAAGAATGAGCCACACTGCTGACGGGATCTAATCACTAGCACACCCTGAGCACATGTGAGTTAAGGTATTCCTCTTATTGGCAAGACATATCGGCATAATTTTTCATATCGGGCCGATATTTACATTTAAAGTCATTATAGGCCGATTCTGATATCAGTCCGATAATATTGTGCAACCCTAGTGTATTCCCAAAAAAACATGTTTGCAGAGCCCAAATTTGTGTCCTAAGCAGACGTAATATGTCAGGTTTCCTGCAACAAGCCATTTTTTGTCCACACTTAATGCGAAATTACTATGTGGCATAACAATCACAGGCAATAAGTTGATGGTTACAGCACTTTTATGTGGAGCAGGATTTTCAAATGATCAGATTTCATTTAGTAAATTATTGTGAGAATTAAATGATATATTAAAGGAATTAGAATATAATATTATAACCTATTATTCTAAATATAACCCTTATGCTGTGCTGAAAATCCTGTACCTAATTTGCTGTGGCTGGCCTTTTAAAAATTGATCCAATATTTGGGAATAATATAGCACAAGAGGAAATCAATGCTATTTTTTTGATGAGCTATTTTTTTGTAGGCAGAACATTTTTGACTGAGAGCACCACAAGTGCAGCAAAAATAAAATAAAATAAATAAATAAAACACTGACACAGCATTTTCAGGAGATGACTGGAGCACACAACATGATGATTAAAAAGAAGTCAACATTATTGTTAATAATATGATAAAAAAATACTGTGAACTTTTTATTGCAGCTAAATATTTTTGTTGTTGTTGTCATGTTGTTTGTTTTGCAGACCAATAAGAACCTTGATATGTCAATTAATGCGTCTAACAATTTCAACCTCAACATAACATGGTCTATTGGCTCAACAGGTAAAGTATTTCATGCTATTGTATTTCATGTAATATTTCAGAATAAAATGAAATCCCAAAAGAAAGAATTACTTTGTGAAATAGTCCTGGCTGAACAAAGTAAGTATAGGAAGGCTATGTGAATCTGTTTGTCAGGGCATTCATAAAATGCTTTTGATTTCAATTAAGATAAACAGGCAGTGCTCTTGCACAGGCAAATGCCTAAGTGAAATTGTTTTTCATTTTGTTGCTGTTTGAATAAACCTTTAGGACAAGCAGATATGTGGAGAAGTGTTATAGATATATGCCCTATAGACGCAAATAAACCAGACTCCCAATGATCACTAGACAAGTGTGAGAGCATATTTATAGAAGTATTTAAGAGCTCAAAAGAGTGGTTAATGGAAAAGTCACATTTTGCATTGTGATGAATTGCTAATAACTAAAATAAATCAGTTTTTCTTTCTGTCATACTTAATGGAACAGCCTCTGAATGGGTCATCTGGGAATCAACAGTATAGACTGACTGATGTTCATTTTCATTTGTGGCTCGAGATTTACTGTTTTATGATAGACCTTGTATTCACTATTAACCACTTAATCTGTTCAAATGTTTTGAGAAGCGGCAAGAAGCTTGCAGTTTTTAGTTTTTTTTTTTTTATGATAGTTTCATTATTGATCCTGTTGGTATTCAAGTACAGCTCCTTACAATGGCTTTATTCAGATGCATTATTCAGATGTTTTATAGTTGCAGGGTTGATCAGAATGTTATGCCATATTTAATCTTGCAGAAGGTTTTGTATGCGGGCGTTGTTGTTGGCTGAAGTGCACTTTGCTGATGCTGTGTTTTGTGTCCCTGCAGCGGGTACGATCTCCGGGGAAGAATTCCCCATAGTGTCCAAGACTAACATCAAAGAATACAGAGACAGCTTCTCCTCTGAGACATTCTCCTTCCTTGCAAATCCCAACATCACTTTCCATGTTTATGTCAGCAACTTTTCATGGCCAATCAAAATACAGGTAAGATCAGCTGCCAGGTGTACGTTTTATTTAGTCCAGTCCAAAACAGCCTTTTCTTATTTATCAAGTACAGGGGTTGAACAAAATAATGTGAACACCTGGGAAATAGGCAGTATTTCTTTATTAGAGTGTTTACCACTATTTGCCTTTAATACACCTTCTAACCTTCATCGAATAGATTCATACAACTTTCAAATAGTCTACAATTGAATGTTGTCTATCAGAACGTCTGCCAGTTGCTTCAGAGATGTTGAAGGAGGGAATCTGCTCTTCACTCTTCTCTCCAAATCTGGTCAGGACAGATGTTGAAGTTCATCTTGGTGCTTCAACTGTCCAGGTTTTATGATCATAACACCATCCGTTTTTTTTTTTTAGCATTGGTGACCATGATTGGCTTTGTGAAGTTCTCTGTGGTCAGTTTTAGTGAAAACAAGGTTTTCAATGTGAATAATGAGGTTTGCTCTTACTTTGTTGCAGTAGTTTTGTGTTTCTTTGGACACAATCCTTTTACGGTCCCTATCATTCACTTGCGGTTTTTGCCCCCTATTTTTCTTTTTTTTTTTTTGCTGATGAAGTCTTGCCATGCTTTGTGTACATAGTCAAAATGGTAAATACTGTTGTTCTTAAAACGCCAAACTATCAGGCTCTTAAAGTTACAGAAGATCCTGTTAAGAGGGGTTACCCTGATTTGCCCTTTTTGGAAGTCTTAACACATCACCCATTTCATCCACAACTTAAACTACACTCATATACAACCTGGACAATATAGACAATGAAAAGATAAATAAAAGATAATCACAATGTTTGTTTATTTCACTGTTGTCTACACAGATAATCTGAATCCTTATAATAATAGGTGTTCACATTATTTTGTCCAACCCAAAACCTGAAATATTGATTTATATGCATACAGTACATATACAAATTTAATTTAATACAAAATGGCTTATTAGATATAAAAGGAAAAAAACAACAACAAGTTCAGTTTCAGCTCCATCCCTCAGTTTGAGAATTGAAACTGCTTTTCTTGGAGCTAATATGACATATTGTTACATGCCAAACTGTTGACGGATGAGCTTTTTATTTTGATGTATTAAATATGGTAAATGATAAAGTTGTAAACTGGTTACATTTTTGTTGAGATTTTCTGACTTTGATCAAAACAGCATTATGTTCATCAATACCTTCATCACAATAGACCACAACAACAAATTATTGTAAATATCATCCATGAAATTTTTTTTGATTTCAAGTCAGGCTCTCTCTAAGCCCTCGTGTCTAAATAGGGCACTGAGAATAAACCATTATGAAGTGTGTTATGCAAAAATAATATGTTTAATGATCCATGAGTCCGCTTTGTGCTCATCAATTTAGAAAAGCACTGACAAACTGTACAAAATATCTCCATTCTCTCAGTATTCTCATTTATGAACTAAAGACCATTTTTAAATACTTGTGCTTTTTAATGTCCATTGCATTCTGAGTTTAGATAATCCTGAGAAATCTGGTTTAACTCATAAAAGTTCATATTTTTAAGGTTATGTTTGTTATTGTCTGTGTGAGAGAAAAAAAGGGGGGTTTGTGTCAATGAACTGATGTGCCTTTTAATGGCAATGTCTGTTGAATATGCATATTTCTAGTTCTGGAATATTCTGTTGCATTCGATTTCAGTATGAACGACATGGAATTGAAATACACTACCATTAAAAAGTTTGGAGTCTTTACTTTATGTTTTGAAAGAAGTTTCTTAAGCTCACCTAGGCTTTATAAATGTGATCAAAAATACAGTAAAAAACACTAATATTGTGAAATATTATTACAATTAAAAATATCCATGTTCTATTTTAAACTATTTTAAAATGCAATTTATTCCTGTGATGGTAAAGCTGAATTTTCTGCAGTCATTACTCCGGTCTTCAGTGTCACATGATCTTTCAGAAATCATTCTAATATGCTTGATTTGCTGCTCAAGTAACATTTCTTATCATCATTGTTAATATTTTTGTGGAAACCATAATACCCTTTTCCAGGATTTTTTGTTGAATAGAAAGCATTTCTTTGCCAAATAAAAGTATTAATTTCTTTGAATAAGAATTCTTACTGACCCCAACATTTAAATAGTATATCCATCAAAAAGTTTACCCTACTTTTCCATTCCCACTCTACTTTAAATATTACATGTGAAGGTTTTGGACAGAACAAGTGGTGCTGCTTGTAATCGGTCTGCTAAGTCATCAGTCTTCCTAGCAACCCTCAGTCAGATCCTGCTGTTCCTTATGTGAGAGTGCAGCTGCACTGTGGCCTGTTAGTATCAGCCGTGTATTGATTGTGGCTGTGAATCATTCCCATTAATGCAGTCTTACCTTAGCCACATATAGATGAGATAGTAACACAAGCCCTTAATTGTTCTCATCAGGAGCCCAGTACCATTCATCTATAGACTGATCCAAGTAACCCGAGAAGCACCACTTCTCCGGCGCTGACCTTCATCACATCTGATGGACATCTAGTCAAAAAAATAAAATCATCTATCCCTCAGATTTATTGGCCTATTTGGTGCATAAAGAGAAAATAATATTTCCTCCTGCCATCCACAGTGAGAGATTTTGCATCTTCCTTTTAAATGACTCTTTTATCGACTAGAGAAAGAGATGAAACTGCTCCCACTCTCAGCTGAAGCACAGTGTCTTTCACTATTTGCTTATGAAAAGCTCAATTTGTTCATACACAGTGATAATGAAAGATTGACACAATGACAAATGCTCCAAATGTGTTTTCTATTACTCTCTGTGTCTCGTGGCCCATGTGCACTCACGCCTGTCAGTGAAGGTCACGCGTGGCCTGAAGTATGTCTAAAACAACAGTATTTTATGTAGTCTCATACTTCATGTTAATTGTGTAGGTCAAGGCTGTAGTGACCCGTCCACAGGCTAGACACATACACAGGAAGTGAGAGATGTGTCGCTGTCGGCCCTGAGGCTGAAGTGAGTTGCTGGCATATGAGTGATTGCTATCACAGTTGGAGTTGTGCTCTGCATTCATCACCCACAGTCTTCACTTTTCTGCTGCCTGCAGTCACTCTCTTGCAGTCACTCACTCCTCTTTCACTCTCTTTATCTCTTTCATGTCAGACACTGGCAGAGATTCTGCATTTATAACAGATCTCACCCCGTGTTCAGTCTGAAAGAGTTAATCACACCAGCAGATGCATAAATACTTAGTGTAAGTTTTTTTTATTAATACTTTAAAAAAGTGAAATTATTAAGAAATTAATACTTTTATTCAGCAAGGATGCATTAAATCAATCAAAAGTGATAGTAAAGTGATAGTTTGTACATTTTTGGTACAAAGGATTTCTATTTAAAATAAATGCTGTTTTTTGTTTTGTTTTTTACTTTTAAAGAATCCTGAAAAATTACGGTTTCCACAATAATATTAAGCAGCACAACTGTTTTCAGCATGTTTTCAATGTTTCTTATGCACCAAATCGTCATATTAGAATGATTTCTCATGTGACTCTGAAGACTGGAGTAATGGCTGCTGAAAATTCAGTTTTGCCATCACAGAAATAAATTATATTTTAAAATATATTCAAATAGAAAATTGCTTTAATTTTAAATTATATTAAAATACTGTTTCACTGTATATTTTATCAAAATTTTAATCTTACAGACTCCATTATATTATATTATATTATATTATATTATATTATATTATATTCATTTTTTGCATTTAATGTTTGAATTATACTTATTTTTTATTTAAAAGAAAAATGTTTTAAGAGTGAGATGAGCAAAGAGTAAAAATCCATGTGTTTTATACTATTCACAAACATTTTACATGTGACATCCTCACAAATTTCTGAACCCAATAATTTAATTTTGTAATAAACAATGTGGTAATGTATTAATTACAAAAATAATAATAATGAATTAATTAATCAATCACATATTCCCAGCTGTGTTTGCAAATGTGTTTCTGCCCTATTGCTTGCCATTATTTACATCTCTTCCTATTAATGGTTTAACATTACCTGGTTATCAGGTTTAATCCAGATCAAATAAGCCCAGCCCTTCAGACTCATTAATGAGTAACATTAGGAGAATCAGGGTAGTCATGTGCAGAGGAGGCTGCTTGGCTTGGGAAAGGCTACCCCAGTGATGAAAGCATTTCCTGCCCTCACTCTGCTCTCTGGGGTTATCGCCCCAGTCTCAGGATGACATCAGCTTAGAGCTGAGGGCTGGTTAGGGGGCAGAGCATGAGGGGATTTGTCCATCCTACTGGAACAGACTTATATTTAGTTTGTCACTGTGATCACCCCTCACCCCTACGGTATTTTTCAGTCCACATTCACAGCCGACTGCTCTACTCACCCCTTTTTATATTTATTTATATATTTATTTTTAAATTAAGAATTAGTACTTGCAAATGAGAAGAATTTCCAGCAAACTAGATTTTGTGCTGAAGTTTAGTATCCAGTTTTGTTTTGGTTTTAATCACCCATTAATCAAATTTAATGTTGTTCAGTGGAAGGGTATAGTGACATTGCTGTCATTTATTGTCAATAATTGGATTATGCCAATAGCTGAACATATGATAGCATATGAAACCATAATGATGATTGTTGCTGTTTATATAATCATTATGCATGAGTGTTTTTTGCCACCTCAGTGTCAATATCATCTTAAAGGAACAGCACACATGTAGTGTTTAATCTGCAAAACCTGGTCCAGTTTTTAGTTTACTCTGGATAGTAACTACCTATTTAGACAAGAAAAGACTGTTTGACCAACATCTTAAGTGACCACTTTTTGGACACAGTGTAGAGACATTGGGCTGTCTGTGTGCAATGCTGATTTGAGTCTATGATACACTTCTCGTGCATCCTCAGTTCTCTTCCTTTATTCTTATGAATACAAACAAGGATTATCTCGAAAAGATCAATAAATTAAAAATCAAGAAGTGTTTATAATACTCTAACAATAAGCAACAATACTTAC